GTTTGGCCGGGGCGGGGTTTCAACCTGCCACTCTCGGTTTATGGGGCCTGCACCCTACCCCCTGAGCCACAGGCACCGCCTGAGACAATTTTATTTTTAAAAAGAGAAGCAGAATAGATACGAAATGATACATGTATCTTACATACAAGATACATATATTTTCACACAAGTACACAAATTCTTAAATTTCTGTGTAATAGCAGTTTGATTCGCTGGAAAAAGTTACTTTTAGGAAGAATAACTTCTGTCTATTTAAGGACCACAACAGAAAATGGAAGTCAATAGTGAGATGGGACTGGCTGAAAACTGCTCCAATGAGGTCCCGGGAATCTTGCTGAGAGGGGACATTTGGGGATGGACTAAAACATGTGTGGGCAACTTGGGGGAGGGGGAAGTAAAGTTAACCAATAGAATTCTTTTTTTGTTGTTGTTGCAGTTCAGCTGGGGTCAAATTTGAACCCACCACCATCAGTATATGGGGCTGATGCCCTACCCACTAAGCCACAGGCACCAGCCTGCCAACAGACTTCTTTAAAAAGAAGATAAACTTGAGTCAATCTACTTTCAACTTCAAAGTAAAAGAATAGTAGGTTAAGTACAAAAATATAATTAAATTGAATCAGGTACAACTGGATGTAAGATATTCAACAGCTTCCAATTCCTGAGCATTTAGCTTCAGAGTACGTCAGGGTGATACGTAGACAATTTGATGTAACCCATCTTTAATATGAATTATTTTACTATTCACATTTCGTAAATTTAAATCCAGGGACATCTAATGAGATTGAAGGTTTGGTATCAGAAAGTAAGGGCCCATTTAAGTTCCTTTTCTCAAAAACGCCCACTTAACTGTAGCCTCTCAATATAGTTTATTTAAGGACAATACTTTTGGGATAAAATGTTGACATACAAAGAACTATGTCGTTTCTGTGGCAATGGCTGTCAGCTACTCAAGCTTTTCTCTCACATAAGACGTCTGTAACTTAACACTGCTTGCCTTTTCCTTCTGTCAGGAGTGTCCAACCTGTAGCCCCCAGGCGGCACGCTGATTTTTGGTGTTAGATATCACCAAAAGGATGCACAGAGCTTTCCTTTTTGGCTTATCAGCTACTGTCAATGTTTTGTGTATTCACTGTGTGGCACAAGAAAGCGCTTCTTCTTCCAATGTTCAGCAGCGGAATTAAAAGATTGGACACCCCTACTAGATCCTTATACCGACTCCCCACCCCTACTAGATCCTTATACCGACTCCCCACCCTCGTCCCAATCGCTCTACATAGATTGTCACACTTTGTTTTGGAACAAAACAAGCAGTAATACGTTGTGTTTCCACGTGTGTGGAAGCCTAGGTTTGGGAATTCTTGACTGCACTTCACTTTGGTGGCAGGGATCACATTCAAGTTTAAAGATGGATAGGGGAACGCAAAACACCTGGAAAACCACTCCAGCTTACTGCGCTGTAGGTGAAGGCTCTGTATCCATCGTGTGGGCGCGGGAAGCGCGGGACAGCGGGGCCAGGCGGCCACCCCGAGGGCAGGCGGGAGGGAGGAAAACGTGAGCAGGAGTGAGCCGCTGTCTCGGGGTGGAAACTGCCCTGCGCTCTGGAGTCTCTCCGCCTTACAAGTCCCCAGCTCAAACTGTCACCTCTTGCCCCTTGTTGCCATCGTCTCTGTCAGAGCGCACGGTAAAAAATGAAAAAGGCAGTTCAGCAGCAATAGCGGGTATCAAGTACGACGAGGAACTGATGCAAACACACGGTCGCGTCTCCAGCAGCGCTCGTGGCACGCTCGCGCCCCACTCTGCAGCGTTCACCGGGACGCCCCGACCTCGAGGGGGGCGCAGGAGAGCCCGGGAGAGCCCAGGACTCCCACGGCCCCTTCGCGGCGCAGACGGAGCCACTGACCTTTCCGCACCGCCGCCACCCAGCCGGGGCCGCAGGGGACTACAGCTCCCGGCAGGCCCCGCGCCGGCCGCGCGCCCCCGCCCCGCGCGCCCCGGCCCCCCGCCCTCGGCCTCAGGACGGGACGGGGAGGGAGCGAGGGAGGAAGGGGCGCCGGCGGCGGGCGGGATCCTGCGAGGCGCGCGAAGCCTGGCTGGCGCCTCGTCCGGGACCCAGACGCTGGCGGGCGCGGAGTTTCTCGCGACCGGCCGAGCCCGCCACTGTAAGTAGTCGCCTCAGGGAGCGCGGAGCAGACACCGAAAAAGTTCGCGCTGCCGCCGCCGCCGCTTTGTTCTCGCAGCCCGTCGGGCTGAGGCGGCGGCGG